TAATAAACACCATGGAAATTATCATAAAACGTGTAGACTTTTATCAGACATTTTGTTACAAAAGTAATAGACATAAGCACTGTTTTGTCCAGATTTATTTACTAGGATGGCCTGTTCATTAAAGAGCGGCATAAAGCATAACCTTCCCTGATGATGATGATAATAATAATAATGTATTATTATTTATATTTATTGATTTATGAACTGATTCGCAGTCCTGTCTTTGACAAACTATTGAAAAACCTGGCTGGCAGCAGTTGTGCTCACAGCCCTCACCTGCGCTGATGTAATTACCTAACAAGATTTTTATTTTTTCAAACGAAGTTGACCAAAACACCCTCTTCCCTCTCATTCACACGTTTGAAGTGAAGCTCATCAATACAACCCCCTGCTGCACTCTCCCACTGAATGTCCATCTCTGCGGTCTCCCACTCACACACACTTCAGGACGGCCAGCAGGACCCACACACCCCTCCCGCCAGCTCATATCATGTCATATATCTCCAGCGCAGCTCTGCCGCTGTGGGAGCTAATGCGCTGCCGTATCTTTAACGTTGCCATTTAATGCTTTTATGCCAGTTCATAAAAGGGTACGGAAACCGGCGCTACAGGTCCGTGTAATAAAAACCTTATTTTAAACTTCGTAATCACCCCGCTGTCTTGACGATTTAATGATGATTATATACGAGATGAAATTATCATGATCCATCATAATTATGAAGGTCTCGGTACATTCTCTCCAGCATATAAATGTATTGCTGCCACTGGGGAACTTCACCGCAGGCAGTGTGTTACGCTATTTGTAAAATGCTATTCCTGAATTTGAACTCGGGGTGGAAAAATGAAATGCGTAAATCACATGCAGAGCAAACAGGCAAATAATCGAGCGGATTTCTGAGGTGAACGGTTAACTGAGACTGAACTGGGAGACGGGCAAAATAATTGAAATTGACGAGATAATCGCTGACAGATAACAGCAACTTTTGCCGTTTGTTCATTAGCCTACCTATGCGAAAGTTGAGGGATTTGAGCAATTACATGTGATTATCAGAAAAGTTCTAACGTGCAAAATAAGAAAGTTAAAGGAATATTATCAGATAAACGCATATGGACAAACAAAATGAGTTGTGGCTGGTCAATTTGCAAGTCAATCGCTGTTCTTGTCTAAGTGGGCAGCCTTTTGTGTCAGTTGGTGCGGTCAGTTAGCGATCTGTCTACATAAAACTACTTCGTTTTGTGGTTATACTTTTGAAACTGTGTGTATTTTGATGTTTATCACAGTCAATATTTTCTTTCCATTTTTAAAAGCATTGCTGTAAACACAACTTTTGCTTCTGTGAAGACACTTTCAACTCTTTCAGAGTCTGATCCTATAAATTAAGCTTTGCTTTTCATACGCAAATTATTCAGTTGCCCTTCTAGAATGATAACAGACAAAAAAGGGTCTGTATTCTTTATTTTTTGAGTGTTTTCTCTCTTTGTGTGTGCAAACACAATTCTTTTCAGACCTCAGTGGTTAAACACGTTGAGAGCACAACCAGAAAACAGCCAATATATCGAAATGAGTCATACATCACGATTAGGTTTTTCAGATATGGCAATAACGCACAGTGACAGGTAGTTTGTAGATGTCATTCAAGACCTTTGTTTTAAACCATTTTAGCAATTGGACTGGACATTCGCTCCATCTCTCTACAACTGGATATCTCAGGTCACTCCCAAGGGGGGAAAAAAAACCAGCACAGCGAGAGGCCTGACCTCACCTTGACCTGGAGAAACTCTGTTGATATCTTGCTGAATATTCAGCTCTCTTTTGTTGTGCATTTCTACAAATTCTCCAGCTAAACCAGCAGTCTGTTTGACACACAGTTTATTAGTCGCGGACTGTAACTATCCCTTGTGTTGTGGTACTAAAGATCCATCCATTATATCTATGGTGACAGACATGGGCGACATTTGACTCGAGTCGGAGGGCAAGGAAAAAAATAAAAATAATTATATATATATATATGCCTTTAATTTTTAACCAGAAATATGCACGCTGCCTTTCTGATGTTCACTGAAGTTTTCCGTGTCTTTTTCCCGTGTCACTTGAAATGTTTCCATTTTGAATCGTTACCAAAGGCGAGACACGTGAGGAAAAAATGAACGATCAGTTGTGGGACTATATTCTGTCATAAATCGCATACCATTCATTGCTGAACTTTCTACCGTCCGTTACTGGAAATGAAATTAAATGACTGGTTGATATGTCCCGACACACACTGTTGGTCCGTGAATTAGCCTAGATCTCGCTCGGGACGCGCTGTCTGTGGAGGTTTGGCCAGGACCGGTTCCAGAATTAAATCAACATATAATGTTCCGTCCATTGCCAATCACTGCTATTTCGAGAGGGAATCCCGCATAAATATGCGGATGTCATTCCCGAAACTTTGCAGGGTGTAGCCTATGTGTCCGAAAAACAAAAGTTTCATTCTAATTCTGAATTGATTATACCCTAGAAAGTGTTCCCTTTATCACTAAAAGCGTCACTCATCTTCGTTCATCGCGATCTTACAAAGTTCCGTTATAATCAATGAAGCTCTCTAAACTGCCTTAAAAACTGCGGCGCTTTCAGCAGTGAGTGAATTCTGACAAAATGTTTCTGATTGGCCATTGAGTTCAAGAAATCAACAGATATTATGTCTGTGATTGGTTACACTGCTCAACGCTGCATAAACACGTTGAGGGTAGCCTATTTAGCGCTCCAATTGCAGCGGGGCCGACATCAGGGATTCCATGACTAACAATCAGAGGCGGGAAGGAGATCACGGCGGCGATGATCCAAACTATAAAAATAATGCGCTTGATTCGTTGCGGTGTGCGCTTGAGGTTGTACTCGATGGCTTGCGTGATCGACCAGTATCTGTCCAGACTGATGGCGCACAGATGAGTGATCGAGGCCGTGCAGAAGAGAACGTCCAAGGCCAGGTAGATTTCACACCAAACCTGCCCAAAGGCCCAGCAGCCCATCAGCTCATTCGCCAACGAGAATGGCATCACCAGAGTGGCCACCAATATATCAGCGGAGGCCAGAGACACCAGGAACAGGTTCTGGGGAGCCCGGAGAGCTCGGCTCGTAAACACTGCGATTATCACCAGCACATTGCCAAAGACAATGAGGAGGATGAGAAACCCCACCAGGACGGTCATAGGAAGGGCCAACAGCAGGGTGTATGGCGTACCTGTCCCATTGGTCGAATTGTCACACCCCATTGTTGAGAATCACAATCTCTTCCTTTCACAACGGAAATTATGTTTTCGGTTGATGGCAGTTCATTTGTTCCATATTACTGAAGACAAAAGTGAAATTTTTGGTCATTTTGGCATCTAAAAAAATAAGGAGGAAAATTATTATTTAAAGAAATAAGTCAAAATGCATTTAAAATAAATACATCATTTTTGGATGCAAACGTAAGTCATAATATCAAAAAATATGTGACCCTGGACCACAAAACCAGTCTTAAGTTGCACGGGTATATTTGTAGCAATAGCCAACAATACATTGCATGGGTCAAAATTATCGATTTTTCTTTTATGCCAAAAATCATTAGGATGTTAAGTAAAGATCATGTTCCATGAAGATATTTTGTAAATTTCCTACTGTAATTAATGTTTGATTAGTAATATGCATTGCTAAGAACTTCATTTGGACAACTTTAAAGGCAATTTTCTCAGTATTTTGATTTTTGTTTGTTTTTTGCACCCTCAGATTCCAGATTTTCAAATAGTTGTATCTCAGCCAAATATTATCCTAACAAACCTCAAATTTAAAAAAAAAAAAAGACCCTTATGACTGGTTTTGTGGTCCTGGTCACATATAGTCAATTTCTTTCTCATACTTTGTTCAAAAATACCACAATACTATACTAACAGCAAAAAGGTAAGACAGAAATGGAGCTTACCTTAGTGAAAAAAGCCTAACACGACCCACAAACTTATTAAACCATCCAAGAAACGGTCCTCAGAGTGCGACTTCTGGCTCGGCGCGAGAAAAAGCGCACCAGTAATTCCTCGCATCTCCTCGGCGGCGCGTGTGAAGACCGCGCTTCGTCGCCGGCGCTCCACTCAGCTGCGCGCGCGCAGAGCTAATAGCGCGTAATCATGTTACGCGTGTGCGCGCTGCGCGTGCGTGTGAGAGAGACGCCCCGCGCGGCAGCCGAAAATAGTTGAGCTTAACTTCCCTTAACTTTTCCCATTCATTCTCTATGGTAGTGCTTAACACTACACTGAGGAGAGTGTGAGTGCGCGCGGTCTAAATTACGCAAACCACGCCCACTTTCTCGAAACGTCAGACGTTGCTTAGCAGCCGCCAAGCGAGGCGCAGTGGAAACCTGACTGGTTTAAACCAATGAAACTACTTGTTTTAGTGTTTACCTGACTTGAGACACAGCATACTAACACTAGACTTATTTTTATAACTTAATACACCAGTAGTTCATTGTAAGGTTATAACTGAAGGCCATTTTATGTACTCTGAGGTGACTTTCAAACACATTTTAGGAATATGTAGTCGATTAAATGTTTTCGAGCTGACTAAACCGACTACAAAGATTTGCACTCACGAGCTCTTATTTGCGTGAAGTCTCCAGGGCTAAAATCAACCGTTTTACAACCCCTCACATTTCCCGGCTTTCCGTGACAGTGGGAACCCTAGTAATATCTGAGAACATTACTGCAAAATAGTTTTTCAAGTAGCAGGCTAAGAATGAGAAAGCTAAACACTGCAGAGGACTCGGCAGCGAGGAAACAGCGACATCTACCGGAAATGTAAGGTAGACGAGTTATATTTGACACGAGAGTATTATACTCCCGAAAACCACTTTCCTGCAGATATATCTTAAATATAATCTTAATGACACTGAGTAGCTTGTTCAGTTGTCCCTTACGAAAATTAACCATGGTTTTACTACAAAAAAAAAAAAAAAATATATATACATTTAAACCATGGTAACTATTAAATTAACCATGGTTTTGCTACACTAACCATAGTTTATGGTATTTGTAGTAAAACTGTGGTTATACAAATTGTAATCAATATGCTACAAAAAAAAAAAAAAACCTTGGTTACTACACTTTTACTACAATAAATCCATGGTTAATTTTCTTAAGAGGTGTTTGACCAGGAATGGAGTGAAACTCTGCATGAAATTGGATCTTGAGGGCCAGAGCTGCCAAGATGATAGATGGGAATTATGTAGTAAACAAAAATGTGAAACACTTATATTCATGCTTCTTCAAAGTAACCACACTTTGTCTATTCTCAACTTCACGATGTGCATTATAAATATTGAAGTTGTTCACATGTGTATGCTGGACACTTTTGGGCTTCTTTTCCTTCAGTTAAAACTCGTCAAGTAAAAATGTCTACAATTTAAATTAATCTACATATTAAACATTTCTACAAAACTCATTTTAAGCCTTTAGATACAATTTTTTATGATCATGATTTCAGATGTTCACACATTTTTTATCATTTGAAAATGTATGAGGGGTGAGAGAGGAGCACATTTGACATTCGTAAGGCAGTCAAATGAACATTTATTTGAAGAATGCTTATCAAAGCAAAGACTTGATCTGATGGAAGAGGGTCCTGTTACTTGATCGGGCTGAGTCAGAAAGAAAGAGAAATCAAGAGTCACCTTTAAGGCTGTTTTTCTAGAGCAAAGTATGTTAGACATGTCCGCACAACACTTGATACCCTATGACGTGTCAAAACAAACAAACAAACAAAAAAAACATTTTGCAGTTACAAAAGAGCAACATTTTTATCTTGTGTACTTTTTTACATCCCTGTCCACCCAACCAGACAATTATGAATCTTAAAGAAAGAAATAAAGAAAGGAAAAAAAGAGAAAATTAACATGCTTGTTTCCTATACATAGCAAGGCAAGAAAAAAAAGCAAAAAACAGGAAACATATAACATTCCTATGTTAAAAAAAAAAACAAAAAAAAAACATGGAAAATGAACTTCATTTATACAATTTCTATGACCTAATGCACAGACAATATAAAAAAAAATAAACCATACCCTTAAGCTCCAATCATAAGGATTCACCAGAACAATACAAGATCAAAATTAAAATTGCCACCTCGGCTGATTATAACCGCGCTGTCAGTATTCACCATTGAAAGTACAATTATGTTTTATTGTCTTTTTTGACTACATTCCTGATTTGTGATGCATTCTCATTCAAAACCGATCATACTGTTAACCTACATAAAAACCAGACCCCCTCCACTGCATAAACGGCACATAAATGCTGAAAATAATAAAAAAAATTAACTTAAATGGGACGCGTCACAAAGCCACATCCCTAATGCACATCTCACTTGAAGTACTCAAAGGCATTTATTGTCACATAATAATTCCATTTTGTTAACATCTAACTATTCCCTCACACGCGCACACATACACACACACACACACGCACACACACACACAAAAGAAAACTCAAATGTACAGTTCTAAGCTTTTATACAAAACCAGGAATGCAATGCCTCTGGTGTATAGTTAAGCATGAACAGAGAAAGCCCTTTTTACAGTTTGTATTTTTTTTTGTTTTTATTCAGCTTCTGCGTCAGGCACAACATATGCACCGAGCAGGTCCAGAGGGATTTCATCTGTAGCAGAACGTCCGTGCTGGTAGAACCGGCCCAAGAAGCCAGTCCATAACGTCTCACGCGGACCGGTTCTTTTACAGCATTACGTTTCTAGGAGGTCCATAAGCAGCAACAGGTTCTGCTGGTTGATAAAAAAAAGCAGCGATTTGTGTCCTTTTCATGGCCCCACGAATGCTAAGTGCCTCTCCGAAGCCTTTACACTGCTGCCGATGTACACAATGTCCTAACGAATCAAAGCGAGAGGAAACGTGAAAAAGAAAAAGAAAAGAAACAGTGTGGACACAACACGAACAAAATACATTTGGCTTGATAAACTAAAGTGGAGGTGGGAATTTACAGTCACTCGATATAATACTAAACCAAAAGAAATTCCATCTTGCGCAAAACGGCTCCATTCTTTAAAAAGGTGAAATAAAAAAAGTTTGCAATTCATATAATGGAAACATTTGGGTTTTTAATTGCAATACTTGATCTGCACCATTTGAATTTTTAAACATATAGAAACACAAACTAGTCAGAAGTTTAAATCAAAACATTTAATAAAGAGAAATAACGGCAAAGCCTTGAAAAAAAGGTTCTTAATAGAATGTTATCGTTCGAATTTGCTGAGGCAAATTTTTCATTCACTGTTATAAAATATACATGATAGAGAATTAAAATAAAAGATAAAATACTTCAGAAATAATAATAATAATAAATGCCCCCTTCCATACGTTTAATCGGTAACATGAAATATCGTGACCCTTTTACTTGAGGAGGATGCCAAAGATCAATACAAAGTGCATTAAAAGCAGCAGCATAAGTATGTGGGACAAACGGTGCAAAAAACTGCAACCATTGTTTAATATTCTGTGAATTTAAGACCAAAAATCATGGGGTTTAAAACCGGTCCGATGACACCGACCAGGAAATCCTTGAAATGCACAGTAAAAAAAAGGAGGGAAGTGATGTTGAATGGGTGTTTGGCATTCCTCACAGTAAACGTGGGCCTTTAACTGCTAGCACTGTTCAGCACCTGATATGTAGATGCGACTCTCACCGATAGGACACAAGCAGAGCGCAACACTGTGGATATGGCAAACAAGTAAACAATCACAAACCCCACGTCCAGAAGAGCACCTAGCTCACTAAACCCCATGACGTGATTGCTATCAAAAACGATTTTTGATTCATTTGTCGCTTCACTATTTCGCAGAAAAAAAGATTGCGGATTCATTTTAAAATCTCAAGCGCAGCAACACGTCCCGATAGCGAACAGGAATGAATATTTAAAAAAGGGAGCGATAAAATAAACAACAATGAAAAGGAATTACGGAATTAATTATACTTTTGTAAATTCAGCCTTTTTGTATTAAAAACTTCTTGGATAATAATGTTCAGACACAAACCACCCAACTGCACTGGATAGGCACAATTCTAGAACAACAATTAATAATAATAATAATAAAAAAAAAAGAACAAAAAATTTGTTCACTGCTTCCAAACAGGTCCTCTGTACAATAAAATTATTTTGGTTGTGGGATGATAAGAAAAAAAAATCTCTGGCTTAAAAAAAAACACAAAAAAAAACTCACATACAGTATGGCGGCGGCAGCAGCAGCAAAAATGAACTTGTAAAAATGTTTTGTTTTTGCATACAACTGTTTCCTGGCGTCAAAACCCCTATAATGACTTTCAATAAATTGGCAAAATGACTGAAACCTTTTAAGAGCGCCTCTTCAGAATCACTAATGTACATTAATTTTGGCAACTGAAGTCTAGACATTGTTTACTACGGGGGTAAAGGGGACCTAACTGGCTATGATTCCTCCATCGATTGGAACCCAGTTAAGCCGTTTCTTGTCCGAGATATAATGACGACGAAGGTAACGTCGTGTGGCGATTCAGTTTCCTCTTTGTACAGTGTGTGAGCCATCTCAGACCATGGCACGGTAGGGACCCTGCATCTTGAGGAACTGGATGATGAAGGAAGGGCCTCCGGCGACGATCTGCGGCGGGAGGTGACTGAGGGGACAGTTCTCTATGCTCATGATGGATAGCTTACTGCAGAGCGCCAGCTCGAACGGCAGACTGTGCAGGTTGGGGTTGTCATTCAGGTACAGGTCCTCCAGGTTCTCCAGTGTACCTATGGGTTGGAGAGAGAAAGGCTGTAAGCGAGTTGCGTATGGATTGGTGTGGCCGTGTGCGTTTGAGGGCAGTGGTGAGCTCATACCGATCTCCTCAGGTAGGTGCTGCAGCAGGTTCTCTCCCAAGCCCAGGTATGTCAGGTTGGTCAGGTGACCGATTCCTCTTGGCAAAGTGGTCAGCTGATTATTGGTCAACACAAGTTTCTGCAAATAAATTTGAGAAATGAGTTTCACACTAAACACTATAAAAGCATCTATTCAGTTTCCCCACAGATAGGGCAATCCCAGAAATCACTGCAACAAGCAAAATAATCCTGTATTATAAACATTTGTATTGAAATAGGGGAAAATTATATTTCAATGCTTTTGCATTCTCTAGCAATAATTCTGGTAGAGAATGAATATGCATAGAAGCATTTCCCCATGAAACTTTGCGTTCGCTCTTAAAACTTTTGCATTCTCTTGCAAAATGTTTGTGTTCCTCTAAGAAAGTTTGTGTTCGCTCACAAAACTTTAGTGCTCTCACATAAAACATTTGCGTTCCCCCAAGCAGGGGTGTGGACTCGAGTCACGTGACTCGAGACTTGACTCGGACTCGAGTCCCAAATTTGATGACTTGCGACTTGACTCGATATAATTAAAGAAGACTTGAGACTCGACTTAGACAGCAATGACTCGAGCCTTGACTTGGACTTGAGCCCTGTGACTCGGAAAGACTTTATGATCAGATCAGAGTTGTTATCACTCTAGACACGTGCGTCCCTGCAGCGTGCTTGCACTTGACTGGCAATAAGCCAGAGACTGCGTTCAGGGAGCGCTGGATATATAGGCTAGTATAAATTGATGGAGTAATAACATAACTTACGACAAAAGAACAGAGATAAGAAAAAATAAATAAAAAAAAAATTACATTATTTGTCTAGTAGCGATCTCCATTCGTGAAAAGCGCTGCCCTGTCCTTTTGATCGCCGCCCAGCAGACACACGGAGCGGGCCTGAGAAACGAGAGGCGCGGCCGCGATCACTGGTGCTCGCCTCATCAGCACCGTGACCGCTGCTGTTAAATATTCCTCACTTCTTTTGTTTGTCCCGACACCGAGGTGCACCATGAGTGATGGATCCGCATCCCGCCACGACCCTCGCACTCTGCCAACTCCATGTGCTTTCATTTTCATTTGTAATAAACACCTCTTCTGTTTTTGTCAGATCTCCACTATTTTTGTTCGATCAGTTACATATTTTAATTGCATGTGCATTTTATTTTATTTAAACCTCCATTAAGTTTAAAGTTAATCCATAATCAAGATTTAAATCTGAGTTTAAAATTAATCGTGCAACAGGATTAAAGTTAATCTTAAATATAACTTAAATCCAGGATAGGGATGTTCATTTCGGTTATTTTTCCTAACCGACAACCGACGCTCGTTAACCGTCTATTAACCGTTAACCGACATGTTTATTTTAAATTAGAATTGAATTAAATTTTTTACAATTCTGATTATCTTTATGACTAAAAGGAGTAGTTGCTTCCACTGATAGAAGGAAAAAACTCAAGTGATGGCGCCGGCGCCGCATGCGCACACAGTTAAGCATTGTTACCTTGACAATGCAGCCTGTTCATTATCATAATAAAATTGTTTTTTTTCCATATGTTTGACTATGTAGTAAAAAAAATATGTAGTAAAATCTGTGCCGTTAAGCGTTATCACCGCACCGCCATGATGTTATGCAAAACATTTTGCTTTACGTGGATATAAGAACGCGAGTGAAGCCTAGGCTACATAATAAATAATCATTTGCCATTCAAATACATTGCGAATACGAAAACATTTGATTTTGTGTGGAATGAGAGACCCAACGTTGGTTTCAGTTTCGTTTTAGCCTAAATGAATTCATTTGGCTTGTCGTTTATATTGCTATAGCTTCTTATATTTTTCATTCTTGTTCTTTTCTAAATACTGTTAATTGAAAGGATTTGTTGTGGAGTGAGGGGAACTAAAATAGCCTAGCTATGTTTACAGTGTTTATTATAATGTTTGTAAACATTTCGCATTGGCATTAGGCCTATTTCTGAATGAAACAATAAAATGCGACTTATATGCGACTTATGTTTTTTCCCCTAAAAAAAAACTATTTTTTTAATATGCGTAGCGTATTTTAACCATGCAGCAAACCTTTTTATATATTTTGATAAATTACTGAAAAAAAAAATTATTAACCCTCTGGGGTCCGAGGGTGTTTTGGGGCCCTGGAAAAGTTTTGACATGCCCTGAGATCATGAATAATGCTGTGATTCACACCTGAGAAGACAAAGGCCTGCATAATGAGCTGCATAATGAGCCATTCAGTCAGGTGTTTGACTGAGAGGGAATTGCTACAAGAAAGAATGTGAGGAAAAAATAAATTTATATATTTTTTGTTTGTAGTTTATTTAGAATACATATAACTATCACATAAAATAACTCGTGGGAGTGTGTGATTCACATGGTCTTAGCTGTGGTCCAGGTTCCTATGCAGGCAGGAATCTCAGAGCCTGTGGAACATGTCAACGTCAGTCCCTGGTTTCCATGACCAAGTGGGCTGCTTTGCTTTGGCTCTCTTTGCAACAGGTTCTTTTACACTGTTATTCTCACATCTGAAATAAAAAAAGTAAGCATGCTGTTTACACAAACTACATTATTAACATTATTGTGATGTTCACTGATACTAGTACTGCTGCTTTGTTAGCTGTGATGTGGGCGTTTACATGCGCGCGTCTCACGTGGACTAATATCTAAAGCGTGATCGGCGCGTGGGTGTGGTCACATTAGCGATAATGAAGGCCGACGACCAAGACTTGACATCGCGTTGGTTTAATTAATCGGTCAAAATTCTTACGGTCAGTTAACCAGTTAAAATGAACATCCCTAATCCAGGATCAAAATGATGGGTTAAAATGTAAACCTGCTTATTTTTAAAGGTTTAAAGTTTGGTGCAGATCGGGTTTCCGCTCACACATTTTTAAATCTGTTTCATTGAGATTCCAAATAATGGCTCATTGGCTTAGATATAACACCTAGAAGCATATATTCTTATGTACACATGCAAATGTTTCAGCTGTTGTTTCTATAAAATTATGTTGTCTTTGCTATTCTGTTACTAATAAAATAGTTTTTTCACTGCTTATTGTGCCTATTTTGGCACAATCCATAAATCGAACTTGAGTAGTTTTACTAAGGGCACCCATCTCACATGAAATTGAACTATGACAAAAATATTCTACCTGCCTTCCTGATATAAATTACTATGAATTTGATATGGTAATTAATACTGAGACACTACAATGACTTGGTCCCACCTCTGCCCCCAAGAAACTTGCGTTCGATCTTAAAACTTTTCTGTTCTCACATAAAACTTCTGCGTTCCCCCAAGAAACTTTGCGTTCGATCTTAAAACTTTTCTGTTCTCACATAAAACTTCTGCGTTCCCCCAAGAAACTTTGCGTTCGATCTTAAAACTTTTCTGTTCTCACATAAAACTTCTGCGTTCCCCCAAGAAACTTTGCGTTCGATCTTAAAACTTTTCTGTTCTCACATAAAACTTCTGCGTTCCCCCAAGAAACTTTGCGTTCGATCTTAAAACTTTTCTGTTCTCACATAAAACTTCTGCGTTCCCCCAAGAAACTTTGCGTTCACTCTTAAAACTTTTCTGTTCTCACATAAAACATTTGCGTTCCCCCAAGAACCTTTGCGTTCACTCTTAAAACTTTTCTGTGCTCACATAAAACTTCTGCGTTCCCCCAAGAAACTTTGCGTTCACTCTTAAAACTTTTCTGTTCTCACATAAAACATTTGCGTTCCCCCAAGAAACTTTGCGTTCACTCTTAAAACTTTTCTGTTCTCACATAAAACATTTGCGTTCCCCCAAGAAACTTTGCGTTCACTCTTAAAACTTTTCTGTTCTCACATAAAACATTTGCGTTCCCCCAAGAAACTTTGCGTTCACTCTTAAAACTTTTCTGTTCTCACATAAAACATTTGCGTTCCCCCAAGAACCTTTGCGTTCACTCTTAAAACTTTTCTGTGCTCACATAAAACTTCTGCGTTCCCCCAAGAAACTTTGCATTCGATCTTAAAACTTTAGCATTCTCACATAAACCTTTTCAGTCCCCCCCCCAAGAAACTTGCGTTCACTCTTATAATGTTTGCGTTCCTAAGAAACTTTGCGTTTGCTCAAACTGTTTGCATTCCCCCAAGAAACTTTCCATTCACTCTTAAAACCTTTGCTTTCCCCAAAGAAACACTGCGTTTACTTTTACAATTTTAGCATTCACAAATAAAACTTTTGCATTCCCCTAAGAAAGTTTGCATTCGTCAGCGCCGACAGCCTAGTGGGCAATGCGCCAACATATAACACTGTTGCGTTGCGGGCATCCCAGGTTTGAATCCCAGTTTGAGGAACTTTCCTGATCCCACCCCCCTCTCTCCCACCCTCTGCGCTTTGTCTATCTTAATAAAGGCAAAATTACAAAAATAAATCTTAAAAAAATAAAGTTTGCATTTGCTCAAAACTTTAGCATTCTCACATGAAACATTTGTGTTGCCCTAAGAAACTGTTCGCTCTGTGCGTTCTCTTGCAAAACATATAAGTTCCCCCAAGAAACTCTGCATCTGAGTTTGCTCATATAACGTTTGCATTCCCCCAAGAAACTTTGCACTCACTTTTAAAACTTTAGCATCTTCCCAAGAAACTTTGTGCTTGCTCATAAAAGTTTTGCGTTTTCTCACAAAACGTTTGCGTTCCCCCAAGAAAGTTTGTATTTGCTCACAAAATGTCCGTGATGGAAATAGTACGAGGTGGGAGGAAGAACTATATTTCAATGCTTTTTTGAGCAGACACAAAATTTCTCAGGGGAATGCAATACTTTTGCGAGAAAAAAATTATTTCTTCTTCTACCTCATTTTTCCCCATGTCCCCTTTAGGGGCTCTGCACAATACTGCAAAGTATCAATACATTTTTGTGTGCAGAACATTTTTTGTTTATGTGTCTATCACTTTTTGTTAGCTTAGCAACATAAGCTAACAAAAGACTCCAATGGAAACAACTGCACTGCCTTAAAAAAAGCTGACTATGTAGACAATTGTCCTACCTGCAGATCCTTAAGGTAGGCAATCTCATTCGGGAGGGACTCCAGTTTGTTCTCCTCCAGGTCAAGCTCTCGCAGTTTCCGTAAGTTTCCTATTCCATGAGGCAACTTCTTCAAAAGATTGTTGGACAATATGAGGACCTGAAGGAACCAAAGGAAAACTGATGAGCCAAAATATAGACCCAACCACATGACAAAAATGGGGTTGCTATCATGAAACTGAGTGATGGTAAAATACAGAAGAGCATGTCACCTCTAAAGACACAAGTCCACAGATATCCTCTGGAATCTTGGTAAGCTGGTTTGTTGCCAGGTTCAGCTCTACCATACTGGTCCACGTCCCAAAATCCAGCGGAAGAGACGTTAACTGGTTGTCCTATAATCATAGTTTCAAAAAAGGATGGTATGCTTTACAATTCTTTTGCTTGGTCATGTAAACTAACCACAATGATGCTAGGGTGCAGCTTATTGGTCCAGATCAACCCTCTACCATATTCTGGTCTCTAGTTATGTGTCTCCTTCAGGGCAAGTTTGTTACCTACATATCTTCAACAGTGATTGAGTAGATGCGCTCTCACCTTCATATTGAGCTTGCTGAGCACTTTGGCTCGGGAGAAGATGCCGAAAGGGATCTTGTTGATACGGTTGTGCTCCATGTTGAGTGAGTAGATGGTGGAGAACTGGGACGGGCCGCCCACTGGGTAAGACTGAAAACAGTTTCGTGCCAGCGTCAGACTCGTCAGGTTCACCAGACTGGAGAGAAGACCCTGAGGAAAAACAGACAGGGATCAATATAATACTTCATAAAAGGGGACAAAGATAAATGATATAAAACTGCTAATTATTAAAAGCGGTAATGAGCTGAACCAAGACTCACCTCTGGTAACACTGAGATGTTGTTATTTTCAAGGTTGAGTTCCTCCAGCTCTCGGCACTTCGATAAAGATCGAGGGATCGCTGATAGACGGTTGTACCTCAGACCCAGACGGTTTATACTTGACAAGTTACCTGAAACAGTAAATGAACATAGTTTATGATTCAAATGTGTAAACTGTTGATTTAATCTAATTTACATGGACATCTAAGCATACTTTCTCCACTGATGAGATCTGATACATAATTATAAAGTACAACTGAACTCTCACCAAATGGCCAAAAGCAGAGCTGTATAGTAAAATGTTTTGCTTCCAACAATAAAGATTCCACCTTGAGTAGTTCCTCACCTATAGTCTCAGGTAGGTCAAGAAGTTCGTTGTGCTGCAGGTCAAGGTTGGTGATCTGAGTGCAATTGCCGATCTCTTTAGGAAGGTGCTCCAGCTGGTTGTGGGCTACATCCAGCGTAATCAAATTACAGAGCTCACCTATAACACAAGCCGGCAGAATCATCGCAACTGAACACTGAACTTTCATATGCAAAATGATGCAAGAGATTTTACGCAATGATACTCATGTATAAATGAGATATGGTCAGATTTGTTAACCAATCAGAAGACTCTGAGGCTTGTTTTGCCTGCCAATCATTTTGAGGGATCCCAGAGCAGCCCATATATGTGACCCTGGACCACAAAACCTCGTTTAAAAGTCTTAAGTCGCTGGGGTATATTTGTAGCAATAGCCAAAAATACACTGCATGGGTCAAAATTATTGATTTTTCTTTTATGCCAAAAATCATTAGAATATTAAGTAAAGATCATGTTCCATGAAGATATTTTGTAAATTTCCTACTGTAAATATATTAAAACTTAATTTTTGATTAGTAATATGCATTGCTAAGAACTTAATTTGGACAACTTTAAAGGCAATTTTCTCAATATTTTGATTTTTTTTGCACCCTCAGATTCCAGATTTTCAAATAGTTGTATCTCAGCCAAATATTGTCCTATTCTAACAAACCATACATCAATGGGAAGCTTATTTATTCAGCTTTCATATGATAAATTTGACAAAAATTTACCCTTATGACTGGTTTTGTGGTCCAGGGTCACATATGGGAAGCAGGAAGCTGATAATTATTTTTATGTTACTGCCTATAACCCATAATACAATGAAACTATAATTGCGTACAATTTTGTCTAAATTATTCAAAGATAAAACAATAATAAATGCAATCAATTATTTTAAATGCTACAAGTGAATTTGGGCCAGTGCTGTAATTAATAACTAAAACTAAACCTATTAAAACTGCATTTGAAGAAATATTAAATTAATAAAACCAAAATAAAAATTAAATTACGAAACAAATTACTAAAAATGACAACAAAAAAAACGTTTAAAAATAGCAAAAGCACAAATTAATTCTAGTTCAAATGAAAACTTATAGCTAATTCAAAATGTTAATAAATACAACATAATAGAAAAAAATACTACAATAACACTGATTTAGGCATCACAATATTACAATGTACAGTATTCAAATGAATATTAATTTTGAGATTTGCTAAAAATTACATTAAACTGTTATTAAATGTTAAATATGTAAAAATGTGTCCGTTTAACTTTAAGTGACTGTTAGATGATGCCAAAGGTAAAAATAGTGAAAATGAGCATGCACAGGTGTACAGCGTGCAATACAATATCCAATATTGACCGGTACTAGTGTTGTCAAAAGACCTGGTATTTCGGTACCAAGTCGGTACTAAAAAAATGAAAATGTTACGGTACCGCGTTGGTACCGAGTACCCGGTCAACCCGGTTCTTGATGCGCTATCCGAAAGCTATCCTCTTCTAGTGTTGCCAAGAATTGGGCTCCTTTAACACTGTTGTTTTTCATGTCCGCGGGTTGAAAAACGACCCCATTAACGTGATATTTAGTCCCTGGAATGCGAATTTTACCAGGGGAACCCTGCCAAAACATGCGTATTTTATCCTCGGAATGCGATTTTTAACGGGGGACCCCCTCGAAACGCAATTGGGCGGGTTTTGTTGTGAAAACCTGGCAACCTCTTCTTAAAAGCAGTGGCGACCTCAAGAGGAGGAAACGCATCAAACTACATTTACATTTACATTTACATTTAGTCATTTAGTCATTTTATCCAAAGCGACTTACAAATGAGGACAATAAAAGCAGTCAAAACTAACAAAAGAGCAACAATATATAAGTGCAAATGACAAGTCTCGGTTAGCCCAACGCGATACACGTTAGGGCTGTGTATCACCAGCAAAGTCACGATACGATACGTATCACGACAGGCAGCTGACTTCTGCATTATGAAGAGCCTCCATAACTGTACCACAGTACAATATAGGTGATGGCATATGTTTCATGTTTACATTGTGCACTCCCCACCAGGTACAATATTCTGATTGTTTGCATATTGTTTTTAAGACCACAAATAATGATGTACTTGTTCTAACAAATTTATATTGTAATGTACTCATTCTAATATATTTAAAAAATCATTTACATTGATGGTAGGTTATCATTGCACAAATTAACACACTCAACAATTAAAAATTGTACATTTATTTTTTGTTTAACGTTATTAATAAAACTGTTGTTCAATTAGCATGTTTCTGTGTTTTGCTTTGGTACCGAAATTGGTACCGAGAACCGTGGATTTTCACTGGTATCGGTACCGAATACTGAAATTTTGGTACCGTGACAACACTAACCGGTACTAAAAATATAAAAAAAATATGTACTGTGTAGTGTTTTTGAATTTTTTTTTCCACAGACATAATGTACTTTTTTTAAAGGAATAGTCTTAAGCAGCAGCTCACTCACTCACCGATCTCTGCGGGCAGCTGTTTAATCTTGTTCTCTCGGATGCTGAGCATGGTGAGTTTGGACAGATTCTTGATGTCATTCTCCACGGTGGTGATCCGATTAAAGCGCAGGTAGAGCGTGGTGAGGGAGGTGACGCGGTAGACCACGGCCGGGATCTCCCGCAGCTTGTTGTGCCGCAGGTCGAGCATACGCAGCTTCTTCAGGTTGTCCAGCGAGTCGGGCAGGCTGGTGAGAGAGTTCTCGCTGAGCGCCAGCGTCACCAGCCCCGACAGGCATCCCACCTCGGCCGGCAGGCTTTGCAGCTTGTTGCTGTACAGGTAGAGCTCGGTCAGCTGGGTCAGCTCCTTGATGGAAGAGGGCAGCAGATGGATGGATCTCTTGGACAGGTCCAGGCGCATTGAGTTCTCCTCACGGCACTTGTTCAGCTCCTTGATGACCTCCGCGTTGCTGGATTTTTTGCGCGTGCTAGGCGGCGGGTTGGGCCGCTTTATCGTGCTGTCCAAGGTGAAGGCCACTGCGGGCGAAGCGCCGCTTGTGTCTTTCTTCCCGTCTTTGGCATCTTTCCCTTTGGTTTTGGATTTCCCTTCGGCTTTGGGTTCCCTCTCCTTAGAGTCTTTATCTTTGCCCAGAGTACTGCTCATGGCGAAAGCCCTGCTGCCCAATGGCACATGGGACCCTCAGTCTCTCGCTCGCTTTCTCTCGCTCTAGTATTTTGTTCGCTATTCGAGGGCGTCGAACCAAAGGAAGGGGCGGTTATATCTGCGTGTGCTCATACATACCTGTGTTTCTTCACCAGCCTCGGTGGACCAAGCAGTCTGCACTCCTGCAGGGGTTAAAACTCCACTGGAACGATGCGTGTTTGTTGTAGTCGGTGTGGCGAGGAGGCCAGCAGCCTCATGTTTGTTCGAACTGCACTCTTTCCCCTCGGCTCGGCTAGAGCTGTTGTGCACAGACGGGTCGCCGGGATTCACATCCTTTGGCTGTTAAACAAAGCAAACGGTTTCAGTTAGGACGCATAATGCCGGGAATGACTTGCAGACAAAAGTTGCGTTCAGATTTCAGATATGAAAAAGGTAAGAGCTTCCCTCAGTGACGCAGATGCGTGAGCCGCTAACTAACAGACACACAGTTCCTTCCTGTATGCTCGTACCACAAGCGCTTTCAGCAAGAAGCAGCATCAGGCCGTCAATGGTCAGCCACTTCAGGCAATTAAATGCAATTAAATCTCGCATCTCTTACAGCGATGCATCAGATGATCCTTTACTGGAGGATTTGCAGGAACATATTAACCACCCTGGAAGAAAATGTACACGGTGCTTTTACACTAGGACAAGCTTGGGAGCATTTCACTGATAAGAATGCGTTAGATGCATTTTGAGGACGTGAAAAAAGCCAAGCGGTTTTTTGTTTGTTTTTTTAAATCAAAAGCATAACTGGACCTGTCTGATTCCAAAATAATACAGTTGGCTTTTATATTGTCACTGTACTAGAGCAAACTGTGATAGTTCACCCAAAAATGAAAAGTAAGTCATTATTTGTTGTTCTAATGGCATATTCTTTTACAGGACACTAAATTAGAAATTTTCTGCTAGTGCTTGTCTATATAATACCAGTGTACAGTGACTGGCTTCAAGTAAAAAAAAAAAAAAAATCACAGAATGATCCCTTACGACTTGTGCCATATTCTCCCAAGTGTTCTGAAGGTATATGATTAAAACCAAAAAACAATTTTGTTTTGTTTAAAAATAAACAAAAATTTAAATGCAATGTAATATGAAAATCCAAAATCCTGACTTTGGTCGTTGGTCTTTCTGCTCATGAGCATAAGTTCACTCCAGCTCACCCAAGAAAAACACACACAAGCGCATCACTTCGAGTATATCTGTACCCAACAAACTATAGGCCTATGGGTACTTTTTTCTATAGATTGTATACTATCATTCTGTGATATGTTTGCATCTTTTTATTCAAAATTAGAAGCTGGATGCTCTTTACTGCCATCATATGGACGAGGACAAGCAGGACTTCTTCTTTTGTGTTCTAAAAAAAAAAGAAAGAAGGTCATTAGAACAACACCTTCTGAGTGGGTGAGTAAAAAAATTGCTTATTTTTAATTTTTAGGTGTACTATACATTTAAACATTCTCTGGAAAATATTTTCTTTTTTTATTAGTTTGACAGCATGGCCAGAGCAGCACGTCAATGTTGACTGCGTAAATTTGACAATTTGTGTTGAATTATTTATCATATTTACATTTATCCCCAATAAGTGCAGCTAAAACTCCCAGGCTTGCTGAAATGAGCATCGTCAAATGATATAATGAGTTAACCAAAGGATTAATCGACTAATCAGAAAACAATCAATAGATCCATCAGAAAAGTAATCTTTAGATAAATAAAAAAATAAAAAAGATAAATCAGTTGACACAATCGTTACTTGCAGCCTTATTTAACAGTGTATCTGAGACACTTTTTTTCCTTTGTACACTATATGCAGAATTTTTTTACTATCAAAGTTATCAATTATCTAACAATTAATCTAAATGAGTTAGCAGAGTTAAACAGAAATATCACATTTGTTGAATATCAAAGTAAAAAAATAAATAAATACATTTAGCGCTTCATTTATATCTTAAGTGCATGTTTACTATGACAGCCCCAAAATAAATTTTCTAAAATACTTTTTTCCAGTACAGTTTTTCACAGAATGGTTAGCGTCCCTGAAACCAGAGTTTGAAAAGCCCCGCACAACTGCTTACTTGCTCATAAAAAGACAAAGCAGCTTTACATCAATTACAGGAACAGTAGCTTTATACCTTTACCTGTGATATGCTTCATTAAATCACAAATGACATTCAACACCCAGTAATCCAACAAAAACCACAACCAGCCCGAATCAGAAATGCCTCAGCACTCTGCGAGATGCTATCTTTGCATAAATATGTGTTCCTCTGTCCTGTATTGTGAAATTCAAAAGTGTGTGTGCAGTTGAAGTGCTCGGCGTGCGTGTGCCTAGTCCAAGCCCAGATCAGAGCTGCAGAAAGGTTAATGCCGCAGGGAATAATCTTTGGGAGTGCTCTTCAAAGCTCTGGCCTCCCACAGGTCAGAAGACCTTTATGGCCAAAGAGTCCAGCTCGTCTGCAATAATAATAATAATAAAGCTATCTTGAACGTGTACATGAAGACTCTCATGTTAAGATACTGACAGAGCGCAAGTGCATCAAAGTCCTCACATTAAAGGAACAGTTCACCCAAAAATAAGAAATTTTCGCACCCTCAGACCATTCAAGATGTAGATGAGTTTGTTTCTTCTTCAGAACAGATTTGGAGAAATGTAGAATTACATCACTTGCTCACCAATGATCCTCTGCAGTGAATGGGTGCTGCCAGAATGAGAGTCCAAACAGCTGATAAAAACATCACAATAATCCACAAGTAATCCACACCACTCCAGTCCATCAATTAATAGCTTGTGAAGTGAAAAGATGCATGTTTTTAAGAAACAAGTTTAAGACATTTTTAACTTCAAACCACTGTTTCCAGCTAAAATACAAGTCCATAATCCAAAATATCGCTTTCTCCAGTGAAAAAGTTGTGGATCAGGAAAGAAATCTGCACAGATTAAGCACAATTTACAAGCCAAAACAGCTGGAAACAGTTATTAACAAATATGATGGTGGATTTTGATATGAGCGGACAACAGGGGATGAATTTATGGATTATGGACTATAGATTATAGGTATTTTGGCCAGAAGTGACAGTTTTATGTTAAACTGCTTCAACAATTAATTTGTTTCTTAGAAATGCGCAGCTTTTCCCTTCACCAGACATTAATTGATGGGACTGGAGAGTTGTGGATTACTTGTGGATTATTGTGATGTTTTTATCAGCTGTTTGGACTCTCATTCTGACGTGCAGAGGATCCACTGGTGAGCAAGTGATGTAATGATAATTTCTCCAAATCTGCTTTGATGAAGAAAAACTCATCTATATCTTGGATGGTCTGGGTGTAAGTACACTTCCAGCAAATTTTCATTTTTGGGTAAACTATCCTTTTAAGACCAAGCAATCTGTCAAACATTAACTGACCTCCACTACCACTGAATGTGTAACTGAGTTTACTTGAAGCTTAGACAAAATAACTTTCAGTTTCATGACCTTCTAGCAACTAATCTTGGTTACATCTTGAGGTGAGCAGTGCAAAAGTGAACTGCTGCAGTTTCTGCTGACCTGCATCTTTATACGCAGTCAAAAAAAATGCTTTGTTTGCATTGTAAACAGGTCACTTTGTCAGCTACTTTGACGCCTTTGATTCATTGTAGGATCTGTATGTTTCCATTGTCAACTTTAGATGTTGACACTCTTAAATCGGGACAACTCCTTTAAATTAGATGCAGGTAAGCCCGCACGACTTCAGATAAGCTCCCTATAAATCCCAAAGCTGTGATATTTCACAGAAAAGTCACTTGATACCACATCTGAGTGAGCCACTGGTTTTGCAGAACACGTCTGCCATGAGGGAAGAGTAAAACAAAACAAACATTCGTAGATCAATGTTTAAATGTACACAGAACTAAACACAGAAGAAAAAAAATCACTTTACTGGCTTTTAAAACATGGGCTATAGTAAATGGTCGCTTTCTAACAGGGATGGGCACAAGCACTCAGAAGTGACACCAATGATTGATCATGAAAGTACATTAAGTGAGGGACTATTTCAGCTTTGTTCGTATCAATTGAAAATCATTTACAAGCATACACAAATGAGTCAAAAAAGCTAATTTTGTTCCACATGTGGTGCAAGATCCTGAAAAAAAAACAAAAAAAAAAAACGTATGTATATATACAGATGCAAACAACAATTGTGTAAAACCCCCATACTACTCAGCAGGTTTACATGTGGAGTACATGAGTAAACATCCCCATGAATACTTTCTACTCTTTACTTTATTTGTAACGGTTTCCTTTTTTCTCAATATGCCTGTTTTAGCTAATATCTAAAGCTGGCATTTGTTCTTTATTTTCAGTTAAATTAAATTTAACATGATCAAAATATAAACAAATATATATTTTTTGGTAATTACTCAAGAGTTCTTTCTACATCAGCTATGAGTTTGCGGTCTAGATTTTAAAACTGCAAGTAATGATTATTTTGATTTTGACTGATTAATCTGCTGATTATGTCTTCAAATTATTGATTAGTCAAATGTTTAAACATTTTATTTTCAGTATTTTCTTAAAAAATAAGAAAATGTGCACATCACGTCCAAAGTTGTTCTCCAAACAACGTGCTGAAGACTATGAAAGCTAGGGATGGGCGGATCGATCCATAAGTATTGATACTTTCTAGGGGTGCTCCGATCAGGATTTTTGAGGCCGATCACCGATCGCCGATCACAGAAAGCAGTATCTGCCGATACTGATCACCGATACCGATCTTTTTAAAGCCTTCTTTTTATAATTTATAACTATTTATAGTGATACTTCAATCAGGATTTTTAGACATTTATTCAGGGCCTGAATTTCATTTTTGAAAATGGGGGGGAATTCTCCTCTTAGGTGTCTCTTGTGAGAGAAGTAGCAGCACAGACTGTGCTTTCACACAGGAGTCCGCTGCTGATCCGTGGCTGTTTACCACAAACACAACATTTATCCATTATTTTGATTTCA